GACCCTTATATTAAAAGAAGTCTCTAATCCATTAAATTATATTTTACAATTCATAAGCTAAACAAAGATTCTCAATTGAAAATATATATCATATAATAAGGTGCATGATGAGCGAGCGACAACTAGATATTTCATAGAGGAGCTGTTACACAAAAAGACATTTTCATAAAGAACGAAATCACATCATACATGGTATCACGCAAACTCGAGTGATTAAAATGAAACGTGTTAGTAATTACTTTCATTAATATGTTAAAGAATTTTAGTAGCTGTTATATCATGTCGGTTCTATATTGAGTATTGTATGGTGCAAGTTTTCAAATTGAACAAACTAAAGCAAAAGATTAAGAGAAAAAAAAAAATATGGGAAGTTAATGCATGGCGGCATATATTTGTAAGTTTATAACTGAGAATTCCAGTTTAATTATGTCAAAGATTTGAAATGTGCAATAGAACTTAGTTTGTGAAATTGTGATGATGAAACCATAAATATATCAACACTTACATAGAAAATCGGCTGCGTTCTTGCCATTGGAGAACCGTCCGGTGGCTTTCTTGCCGGGGAAATCGATGCCGTTGTGTGGGAAATTTGCTTTAGCAAAGGAAACGGGAAGGTAATTGTTGTTGCCTACATCGACCTGGGAGTCTCCGATGACAAAAATCGCCGGTACACTTTGAACCTCCGAAGAAGAAGAGCTTGAAAAGAAGAAAAGGAAGAAGCACAAGAAGAATGACAAAAGATGCTTCGCCATATATTGTGCCAAAAAAAACTCTCCTTTTCTTGGGAGGGTTCTTGGTGTGTTTTCTATGGGAAGAAAATGAAGGGTTTAGGGTCCCTTTTATAGTGGGAAAAATAATATTTTCCATTTTCTTATCTTGGTGGTTGGCACGTAGGGTGGGGCAGGGAAGACAACACTAAATAGAGAAGTAATATATATTTGAAAGAAGAAAAAATGCTTTTTCTTTTGCATTTTGAGAATAGTGAGTTGTCTTTATCTTTAAAATCCATAAATAGTGTTAAGTTTTTTTTATTATTATTATTTTCTTGGGAAATTAGGCAACAACAAATTCGCTAAATTTCCAAAAAATATTAGTTAAATTGACTCTTGGGATGGAATTTGAAGTTGATGTTGATCAAGTGTGAAGGGGAGGACGACCATAATGTTACGACTTGTTGCGTGGCATGTTGGGGAAGGGAAAGGGGACCCCACTCAATACTTTTCCCACCGTAGATGACACTGTCAGTCAGTCACAGCGGGACTTTTGAAAGCTCTTTTCATCTTTTCCCTTTAAATTTGTAGAACCTTTTTTAAACACATTTAATGCTAACAGGATTCAAAAATTTGATTATGTTAAAAAAAATTAGTAATTGTATATGGATTTGATAATTGATATTAAAAAATAGAGAAAAGAAAAAAATAAAATATTTTATTATTAAAATATTATGATATTTAATTACAATATTAAATATATGAGATATAAGTCATATTCTTATTAAATTTATTATATAAAACTATTATTAAATATCTTAATATTTTTCACCTTTTCAAAAAAGGTAATTTAACTTTAGTTTCCATTAAAGGGAGCTTAACTTACTAATTAAAATTAAGTTTTTTTAAAAAAAATCGGGTTTAAAAATGTGATTACGGAATGAAGTGAATTAAAAATGTGTTTCTAAGAATGATTTCGGTTGCAGGAGACGGTGCTGGTTTGTTATCAGAGATGGTCATTAATTTTGGATGAGAATTCAATCATCTTCTTGGTTAGCCTAGGGTGGCTCTTGTGGTGTGATATCTTTAGGATGATGTAGACACAATAGGTGAGACAATTTTGTTGGTTAAGCATGCTCAATCTTACTACGGTTTTCTGAGTAGTCCTTTTTGTATCCCGATGGCAGTTGCCTATTAACACCATTCACTATCAATTAATGACTTTTTAAAATATTTACAATTAATTATTTAAAATTTATAGGGTACACTGATTAATATACATTTTAATTTAACATATTATATAATATATTTTTTT